GGTTTGACAGTTATTTATATTATTTTTTGTCTTGGCTCCTGTACTATGTTGTTTTATGGTTCAGGAGCCAATACCCATCTCTTGCATTAATTCTTTTTGTTTGACTTAAGAAAGAATTGAATATTTAACTGTGGAAGACGAAATTAAAAAGTATAGCGGGAGTAGAATATAATAATATATTGATGGAGAAAAATATAATAGTATAAGACCATTCCCTAGAAATTAAGTAAAGTCATTTTTATGTGTTCTATGTTACTTGGAGAAAGGGTTCAAGGCATTTCGGGCCATGCTCCTAGCACAGTGAACATTTGAATTCTGACTTTGAAAATTCTATGAGTCCATTGTCAAAGCAATAGGGATATCTTAAATATATTCATAGATCTGTGAGAAATAAAACTGGAACAAGGCCGTGAAACATACTTATTCTAGCTACCCTAATCACGTGACCTTGGTTGTAGATGTTTACATATAATAGTCTATTTTAATTAAAAATAACTATAACAATAGCGCAGTTAAGATAGAACAATCAAAGTGTGGGAGTCATTAATATTTGGAAGTGAATTTAACATCTGAATACAATTTTGAATGTTAAGTAACATTCTTAAAATCACACAGAAATGTTAATAGCCTTTACTTTACTTTTAAAGTTAAATCAATCATTCTTTTTTCATTTATGAACGAACGAATAGAATAACTGTTAATAATCTATAACATATTACTATCCCTTTCATTGTCGTAGAAAATAATAGAGATAATAAGCTTAATAAAAAATATTTCGATATTGGAATTCCTCGGACACACCATTAAATAGTCGATAGTCGTATCGTCATGGTTCTAAAAATAACGCAAAATGTACATAATGATGTAACAAATTTTATTACATCGTAAAATCTTTGCATGTAAATTGTTTATAGAATCAATTAATTGAATTGCGTTCTACAAATAAGACAAAGATAAGTCCTCTTTTCCTTCCCACCCTTTTTCTTATAAAGAAAGGATGGAAAGTGGTAGTGGACTTTCCGGATAAGAGGATGCATGGGAAGGGAAGATATTTTCTTTCTGTGCATCCTCTCCTCCGTCGATTAAAGGTAGGCAACGCATATGCAATTGCGTATGTCTATGGGCAACGGTCACTGCGCTATTTCAGCGATTTCAGGTGGCCGTTCGCTCGTTTGGCACCTTATGATATAAAAAAAAATATTACCATCCTTGTCATTCTCTGTGTAAAAGACAAAGATAACAATGTTTTGTGCCAGGATTTCGTTAGTTTTATGTTTAAATCATGATACTATGTAAATTCCAGTTAATATTTCAATGCGTTATTGCATTGTATGTTAAGTTAGTGGTTAAGTTTATGATAGCTCCTACCAAAGTCAAAATCCACTCAGTAAGTTAAATCAATTCGCTTTCAACTATTATAGTGAAATCGAAGTAATTTTACAAATATTTATACTGAGTTTTTGTACTTAGTTAAGTAAAACTAGTATTTAAATTCGTTATTTGTGTCACCGGTTAAGTTATTTATGTAAAAATGTAGTTAAAAAGTTTTTTTTATCATCTCGCTATACTAATTTATTAATTTATTTTTATTATTCCATTAAACTGGTCTAGTATAACAATCATTTGTGTATAAACCCTTAAAAAATATAATTCTATACTTAAATTTTTATCACAAAAACGTAAGGAATATATAAAACAAAACAACTTAAATCATACGTAATCTAATGACATTTATAAGAACATATAAGTTACTAAGTAACATATAAGTAGTTGCATAAACAGCTGTATAACGCAGGCTTCTAGAAAGTAATTATATAGTTATCATAACCGGATGTTGACGCGATTAGAGCCTTTAACCGAGTCAACGATTACAAACACTGAGCATATGGTCACCAATGTAAGAATTCTTGCGATTATACGAGTGAATGTATTTTCTAGAACATTCAGAAATTGTAAGCTATTTGTTATTATTTAATAGGTTCCCGCCAAATATGGAAATCGAATAAAAATATTGACATTTATATCAAAAACTGTCCATATGAAAGGTTTGCATACTCTTTGCTGAGTGCAGAATTACATATCCTAACTCTTTGGTGGATTAAACATTATACGAAAGAGGTGGCATAATGGCCACTCAGAATTTGTGCCTTTTAGGTTAATAAAAAGATAAATATGAAAAGTATAGAAAAAAACGTGCGGGAAGTGATACTTACGTACGAGATACTTTCAAACATACATCCATCTAAACATTCGCATTTATAATATTAGTAAGATTTCTTTAAGAAATCTGAGATTATTATGTTTGTATATATGTTAAATGAAAGCTTACTTTAACTTGGTACTTTGTTGATAATTGTTCGGTAAGTTTTCGACCATCTGTCACGTTGGTCATTTGCATATCCTCAGTGGACGGAGACGTCCGGGTGACGTCACGTGTATTGATGTAATGTACGCTTGGAATTTTCGTTGAATAACACGACCTGGTCTTTTATGATCGTATTATACAATAACACAATGGCACGGAAACTTAAAGCTCGGGTGTAAGCTAGAACATGAATTGAAAGTACGACATAGTTTTTAATTAGTAAAACCTGAAGCTATGAAGATACGTATTTTGCGAACTATAATGAAGTGAACTACAATTCAGCAGTGGAAATTCAAATGCAAGATCATATAATGTGCACTAGACCACCGTATGGCCTAGTCAATTTGGGTCAGGCTTTCATAAGTTATTACTGACCATTTAGAAAAAGAAGGAAAAGGAAAACAGAGAAATTAAATTGGGAATTTCTACAATTGTTAGAGAAATAGAGATAATATCTTGAAAAGCAAGCTTTTCATAGAATACTGTTGGCCGCTACTCCATCTTGTCGGAAATAAAACACTTAATAAGCTAGCTAAGCTAGCATATGTGTTCTTCTACACTATGTTCTACATCTGGGTAAAATTTTATCAAGATCCGTTGAGCCGTTCCTTGTAACAATCATTTATCCAACCATCTAAACATTTGCATTTATAATATTTGTAATATTTAAGAAATTGCAACGTAAAGTTATCTTCCATTATTTAAAAACTATAACTCGTTGTCAAGGTCACAAAACTTTCTAAAATTGTGTTCTAGATATCTGACATTTACTTGACATTTGATATTTTCTCTCATAATTTTAGATGTGTCAGCTTATGTTATAATCAATTAATCTAAGAACTTAGTAAAAAAGTGTCTTGACAGACAGACGGACGGACAACAAAGTGATACTATAAGGGTTCCGTTTTTCCTATGAGGTACGGAACCCTAAAAATAACATTAATTACAGTTCTTGTATATTTTAGTATTAAATATAGTAGTGTAATTAATTAAAAAAAAAGGAAACTCAATACTGTTTCCAAATTGTTTATGGCCATTTACAACTACAAAAAGGAGGAGGTTTTCAATTCGTCTGGATTTTGTTACTGCGTGTCTCCGCTCTCGATTGTCAGATTTTTTCACTAACATAACTTATAATCCAATAACTTATTTATTTAGATACAAAGTGATAAAATTATAAATAAATTGCATATAAATGAGTTATTTTTAGCTACATATAAAAAAATCTTTAACCAATAGAAATATCTCTACAATGTCTATCGTCAATACATAAGTCAAAAGTTGCAATAAAAACCTTGGTTATTTTGTAATATTATATGTTTATTTATATTTTATCAACATTTTTAAAGTAAATAATTGACCTTTCACGTAGTAAAGATTTACACCTAAGCATCTACATTACACAATGACCTTCTAAAGATGACTAAACGAAAAATACCGGACAAAATGGATAATCAAATAATTTCATGAATTCAATATTTATAGTATCACTAGCTGTTGCCCGCGACTCCATCCGTGCGGAATTAAAAATAACTTAATTAGTAGCCTATATGTTCTTCAATATTTTCTACATCTATGCCAAATTTCAGAGTAATCCACGCAGCTGTTCTGGAGATATCTTCTAATAAAAATCCATCCATACATACCGTATTTATAACACTAGTAAGATGTACTAGACTTACGTTATATACTAGTTTCCAAGTGACGGAAGAGGATTAATTGATCATCCTACATTTTTTTCATTTTAAAAAATATTTATAATATTCATTTAACAATATGATGGTAAGTATCGATGAAATATTTAAAAAGATTATAATTATAAAGTTCAATTAAAAATATGTAGCGATGTTTGTGATGTTAAGCCTCGTTTCCACTCTTCTGCAACTGTCTGTTAAGTTGAATGTTAAGTAGGATGACATTGACAGACGATAGTAATTAACGTCAATCAATGTTAAATATGACTTATTGATTGTAGCTGGGATTTACAAAGGATTGCATAATTTAATGATTATTCAATAGTTAGAAAAAAAAGATGGCAAATGATTAATTACTTTAAATAAACTAATGATGATGGTCTGGTCGTCATTTAGTTTTGTAATAGGAGTAAAATATAATCTTAATAGATTAAAAAAAATATTTTCTTATTTATCAATTGATTATTATTAATAAATAATGTTTTAAATTAAATTTGGCTTAATCAAGTAATATCATGTCACTTAAATTTATTTTTTTAACTTTAATATAATTGTTTATTACATCAGTTAAACGTTATTTTATAAATAATATAATGAAAGAAATTCTTGGATTCATTTCATATTAATTTATCAAAACTATACGTATTATTAACAAGTGGTCTGTTAAATAATTTTGGCGCCAACTACGAGCTTTTTCAAACTAAAGACATCAACGAACACCCAAAATTTTATCACAACTAAGTTAATAGTTTCTAACATTTTTAAACAATTTTTTATGCATTAAAATATATTTTTTCTAAAATAAATCATATAGATTTATCAAAATATACTTAAAAATAAATACTTTATTTAAAAAAAATATTAAAAACGTTTTAAAAAATATTCAAAATAGCCACTGAAAGAACACTATAAATAAAAATAGAAAAATAAAATAAACTCACAATTAAATCGGTAAAAAAACTGTCTCCGTAACCTCCGACCACTCCACAATGAAAAGCACAACACACTGAAACCGTCTCTGTATTGATGTCAATATTTAAAACATCGGATGACACAACGCCTCTCCGGTCAGTAACGAGTCACTTTGTTACCGGCGGTCTTCTCGCGCGCTTTTATACAAACATTTATGAAACGCACAGACTGACCTTTTGCGGTGACGTCTCTATCTCACACTATGCACTACGAGATAATGGCGCGAGTTTCACTTGATAACAATTATTTTGCTTAGACAAACAATTGAAACGATTCGATCTATTTTACAAACATAGCAACTCTACTAATATTGATGAAATTTTGCACAGATGTAGAACATAGTCTGCAAGAACATAGGCAACTAGTTAAGTTTTTTTTTTATTCAGCGTGGATGGATCGTTTAGGACAGTCAAATAATGGAACCTAAATATAACAATTTCAAAGCATCACTCACAAGATTACGCGATGATATTCTTCAAATCATTTTAAAATGATTTCCATTTTATGTGTAAACTAACATCCCTTGAACATAGTACTTAAGTGATATATCAAGTCAGATATATAATTTCTAATACCTTTAACTTATGTCTTATAAAAGGTGGTAAAATCGGTGGTAGGAGACCTTTTGAATGACTCATCAGATTTTGCTCTAAAGAAACAAATGTATCCGTAGTCCGGTTCGTAATAAAACAACAATATAGATAAATGAGTAATTCAAAAGTAAGGTTACCAAAATAAGCTCAGTATTCTTTAGAAGTTTTGAATTCATATGGGGAAGGCTTTGAGTAAGTAAAAAAACAATATCTTTACTAATTGCCTAACATATTAAATGTACTCATTTTAGTCTAGTTTAAACACTATGTTCACAAAAATACATTATATAGGATGTCTGGGTATGAGGTACACAACGGAGCACCATAGATTCCTTGGTCGAAAATATGACGATTTAACTCAACACACCTCTATCCAAAAGTTACTTAATTTAAACTTTAGACACCCTGTATAAGTAGACAAAGAAATAGTTACGAAAGAATGCCCCTAGTGACAGTTATTTTAACTAAATGTCGTATTATATTAAAATTTGCAATTTGCAGGTGGCGATTATGTTTTGTGTTTGTCGAAAATTATATTAAAAAATAATAAAAAACTAAACTTGTTTTGTATATTCATAAATATTTTTCTTTTATAATAAGAAACTAGTTATGAAATTTAAATGAAGCAGCGTACGTGACGTCATCAACGTTTCTTATTAAAAAAAATACAATTTTTTTATTAACAATATGGATTTATGAACGTCTTTTTTTATTCGCGAAAATATGATGCTAATATCAAAATATGTTATTGATATATAATATATCAAAAAACTTAATTGGATTTGTCATAGCGTGAATTAATTCATTGACTTAGCCCCTTCGTACACAACGAAACATCTTCAAAAGCAATATAGTATTGTTGCGTCGCAAGTATCAAGTTTCGCGGTCCATACGAAGAATCGTCGACGCTACTCTATACGGTCAGTACAGACAGCAAATATATGTCAACTGTATAGATTTGCTCTACCATCTTTAAAATCGGAGCGAATTTCACACGACGATCTATACAAACAGATTAAGTGCGACTTGTTTTATTGACCAAAATGTCGGCGACGCGTGACTGCGCTCATGTATGTTGTATGTCAGTAATGCGTAAGTTGGCTACAAAAATCTTGTGGTTTCAAAGCTTTAAGGTATATGTGTGTGGAGGGCCTTAATGCTTCTTACTACGTGATTTACAATATATTTCAAGTAAGCAATAAAATAATTTACCCGTTCCAATAGAATCAAATATGTTCTGATTGAAAATATTAAATATAAACAAAGGATTTTGTGATCAAAGTTTATTAAGTGTACAAACAATAACTTGGAAATGTGTTATCGTCATTCTAGAATGAAAAGCATATAAAGTTAAAAACAATTTGCGTCTGTATTGCTTTTAATTTATCATTAATTTCGTTACAATAGTTTTTAATGGCATATCTGTCCAGTTATAATTTTTATATGCTTTAAAAACAAACATACGTACTTAATTTAATTTTTAATGATTGAGAAAACGCTTTGGGTTTTTTGATCAGGACACCTTCGAATCCGGAATCGACAGTCGTAAATAGTAACTCTCATCGTTTTATGTACCCGTGGTCCTTGGATGAGGCATTAAGGATTTCCTCTGCCAGTTGGTTTACATTTATAAATGAAATGACCCGTCTTGACCGCGTAATTTGTAATTACCGTACAGGAAGCAGACTCGGGATGTGCAATATAACTTTTATTTAAGTCTTTAACTTTTATTTCTTACTAATATTATGAATGCGAAACTTTACATGGATTTATGTTTGTTAGAAAGTATCTTAAGAAAGGATGGATGGATGTCTCTGAAATTTGGCATAGATGTAGAACACTTAGGCTACTAATTAAGTTTTTTTTGTAATCTCGCCCAGACGGAGTCACTAGCGATAGCTAGTAAGTGATAATTAAGGAGTTAGTAATTTTTTTTTGGTAGCAAACACATATGAGACGACTCCCTACATGCTGTAAAACGACAGAGTTAGTGACTAATGAAAGTGCAACCTTATTCTCATATATCGGTAACGTATCTTACTAATATTATAAATGCGAATGTTCAAATGTATGTTACAAAATATCTCGAGAACGTCTGCATTGATTTTACTGAAATTTGGCATAGGTGAACATACCCTTTTTTTTCCAGAGAGGAATGCTTTATGCATACTCCGCGCCCGGGGGGACGCGGTAGTTATGTGGGATTCTCCTCTATAGCGGAGGCATACCCACTAAACCTCTCTGTTCCTCCAACGCATCGGGACGGGACCACGGGCACGCTTTCGCTCTCGTCCGCGAGGTGAACATATACCCTGGACGAACACATAGGTTATAAATTAAGTATTTTTGTAATGCCGCGCGGGTAAAGTCGCGGGCGACTTCTAGTTATAAATAAATGCGATTGATTGTAAATGCACTTTATCAGTTATGCTCCGGATATCAGTCTATTATGTATGTAATTTACGACCATAAATTGTTAAAGTGCAATATTTATTTATTATAATTAGATTAAATTTACAATCAACCAGGAAACTATTTATCAGAATGCCTAGAATAACTGAACCTATTACTACTATGAATGAATTAAATTCAACAAATTACTGGAACTCTTCATAGAACTGTGTACTACAATCTTTTTTGACAATGACAAACGAGCGGGCGGCCATCTGAAGTCGCTGAAATAGCGAAAACCGTTGCTCATAGACATACGCAATTGCAGATGCGTTTCCTCTACCTTTAATCGACAGAGGGATGCATAGAAACAGAATATTTGTCCTTCCCATACATCTCCTCATTCGGATAATCCACTTCTACTTTCCATCCTTTCCTTATAAGAAAGATGGTAGGAAGAGAAACTTAAAATTAGGCCTCCAAGGCGCAAAATTCCTATCTTTTCATTAGTATATTTTTCTGTGACATATCCAAAGAAGTTGTCATAAAGTCAATGAGTAATACAACCTCTTTGGTACAAGGTCTGATGACAAGAACCTATATTTATGTAATTGTAAACAGTCATATGGCAAAAATCGTAACAATAATCTGTAAGGAAAAACCCAACATCTTTCGAATCCAACATAAATATGATTTGTGACTAAGGTTTTGTTGTTTATCTAATATTGTGTTTATTTCTTAATAGTTAACTTGAAACGGATGTTGATACATCTTTGGAAATATACAAACAATTTGTAACATATTATATGTTTTTCTATTGATTACATTCTTCTATATTCCATTAGACTTATAGAGGTTAGTCCCATCAGATATAGACTACAAAACATGAGCCTACAATCCTTAAAGGTTTTTGGCTCGTTTCTGTCATTTACAGTGTGTTTTATTTTATCTTAACTTTTGTCAGCCTGATAAAAATAAATAGCACTACATATTTGTTACTAAGTACCTAAAAATTTGTGATAAAAAACTATTAAATTTAAGTAGTTAAAGATTTTTCTTGCAGAATCTAAAACAGTTCTTTATATAACTTATAATCTGTTATATATAAAACTAGCTATTGCTCGCAACTCTGTCCGCGCGATATAAAACATAATTAGTAACTTATGCCTTCTTCCAGACTATGTTCTATATGTATGCTAAATTTCATCGAGATCAGTTCAGCTGTTCTGAAGAAACCTTCTAACAAACATCCAAACAAACAATCATATTAATATTAGTAAGATTTTATAACATAAAGATGGTTCCTTAGTAATCGTATATAATTACTTTTCTTAGAATTGTCTTTGTTGTTACCAAGTTAGTCTACTAAGTAGGTATTAGTAATGACGGGTTTAAGCGAGCTATGTGGTCCGCCCACGTCACTAAAGGTCCGGGTTCGAAGGCGCCTGGCGATGATGGGTTACTATTTCGAAGTTAAGGTTCAAATACTTCAGTAAATTATGTTAATCCTTTGGAATATTTTAATAGTATTTGAACTTTGTATTTCAGTCTATCAATGAATGTTTTTAAATTTTACATACATTTGATATTAAAGATAGATTTACTTTTTAACGTACGTGGTATTAAATTGGTTGCGATATAGTACTTTAATTTCTTAGGAATGTAGTAGCCTATGTGTTCTGCCATACTATGTTCTACATCTATACCAAACATCAAGATCCGTTCAGCCGTTCTCTCCTGAACTACATTCTAACAAACATACATCAATATTGAAGGTCGGCACAGTATGTACTCCTCCATACATCTCTATCAGCCGTTATATATGAATCTACCCTCTTTCTACGCATATCCTCTTTCATGTTTATAATATTAGTAAGATTTAATAATACCGAATTAACTGATAATCGAATCTTAATCGTTAAAATACGCGTCTGCCTTCTACCTTGATTGTAGAACCGTTGATTACATTATTTGTTTGTTTACTCGGTACTACAAACGATATCCTTGTGAATGAGTGATAAATTGGAATGCATATGCATTGGTAATAGGTTCAATTCCAATGCGCACAACGTCTACTGATGTCACATACAAACTTTGTTCATTTCTGTGACGCATTCTCTGATAGTAATATTATTGGAATTTGTCCAG